TAACTGTAGAGCGACCGGAAACAAAACCATGCTGGGAAGCTGACACAAAGGGGCACGTGCTGGTGTACATAAAAGAATATAATAACTTTTCAAATAGTTTAGCAAAATTGGAAATTATCGAAATTGGTCTATAGTTTGAGAGGGACGTACGATCATCCTTTTTATAAACAGGCACAATTCTTGATCGTTTCCATCTTTCAGGAAATTCACAGGACGTAATGGACAAGTTAATAATAAATTTAAGAGGGCAAGCAAATATATAACGGCAATCTCTGACCATAAAACTTGGCAACAAATCATCTCCAGCAGTATGCTTATTAGAAAACGTTGCCATTAATTTAATTAGCTCCTCTTCTGTAGTGGGATGAAAAGAGTATGGCAACGGATTGAAATTAGATTCAGTGAAAGTTCGGTCAGTAGATACAGTGTGAACAGCAGAAAACATGTTAGCAAAAGCATTTACAATATCTTGAGGATCAGCAAGAACATTGCTCTCACTATCAATCAGATTACAGGGTATTCTTGTGGTACGTTTCTTAGCTCGGAGAAAATTCCATATACTGGACGGATCAGTCTTGATGGTATTTTGTATGTTGTTAAGATACTTAATGTAACTGTCGTTTATTTCATTTTTTAACAACCTCCTCAGTCGCTTAAATTCATTATAAAATACAATTTTTTTTGTTTTGATCCATTTTTTGTGATAGAATTTTTTGATATTAATATATAAAGCAGAGATGTGCAATTAGGAGGGAAAAAAGGTGTTTGTATTAGACCATCTCTTGAAGCTAAATTTTTATTAGGCCCATGTGCAGGTGCGGTGTCTAAAATAAGAAGTGCTATCGGCGGAAGATTTTTGCTCTTCAAAAAACGTCGTACTTCAGATACAAAATCATTATGAAACCATTCTACGAATACTTCTTTGGTTACCTATGCTTTGCTTTGGTTTTTATATACGAGTGAGTTTTCGTATCAATAAAAGCTTGAGTTTATGCGTACCATTAGCATTGGCACAAGGCATAATGGTAACTTTATCCTTGGAAACTTTCCTCCCTGGTATTTCTCGCTCTTCTCTGGAAACGTATGTTTTGTTTGATAAAACTTTCCAGAATAATCCACTTTCATCGGCATTGTAGACTTGATCAGGAGTTAAATTAAGATCATGCACCTTTTTCCTGAACTGTTCGATAAATGGAGCAACAGCTGCCTCATTACAAGACAGCTTTTCTCCCGTTACGATGAATATTCTAATTCCAATCTCACCTTAAATTTTTGAAACCAGCCGTCCCTTGCTTTAAATTCTTTATTCTTATAGATTTTCTCGTAAAAAACTAATGCTAATCGTATACTATCTTCCGCGAGAGTCTTCTTATTTCTTTCAAAATACCGGATTACTGGACGTCTCGAATTAGTGATTGCCAGATTACTTGTACTACAGTAAACTACAGTTTATGTGTCTAAAAGTTAAATAGTTTGCTTTGAAAATACGTCTAAGAAATTCGCAGTAGTTTTTCAAAATTATCTTCTATGTTATTTTTATTCGGAATACCTACTCTTTAGGTTTATCTGTAATTTAAAAATCCAGGTTGACCTGTAGCTTTCCCTTCTAACAGACAGATTTGTAACTTACAATTATTTTTTATTGTACCTGCTTGACCTATAACGTAATGGTACATCAGATTGATATTACCTTTCACCTTTTCCACGAACTACCACTATTACATAGATAACATTGACATGAATAACTAATATTGGTTAAACGTCAACACTTTCATCTTCTCATCTCTAGACCTAAGATTTCTTTAACATAAAGAAAGTTTAATCAATTAGTCTATTTTTGATACAATTTTAACTGTCAATTTCAACATAAAAATGTTATGAGTAATGCTTGTGTATACCAAGATATAATTGTATGCAGCGTAACGAATCATGCGAAATAGATAGATCGTGTTGACTTCCTTTTCTTTTCTTCTTGGAGGGCAATCGGATGTGGAACATTAGCGTCGGGACAATGAGAACGGTCCGGACGTTGGAAGATTAATTATTCGCCGCGCCGTCGAAACGACTGCCGCAAAGTTGTTAATACACTCACCTGTGTGAAGTCTTGCGTGCAGACTCATGTTGGACCGATCCGCGAAGGTTTTTCCGCATTCTGGGCAAGAATAGGGCCTTTCCCCGGTGTGGACTCTCTGGTGTTGTTTTAAAAGCATTTTTCGAGAAAATGTCTTACCACAAATAGTACACTCGTGTGGTTTTACACCTAATAATTAAAAAAAAATGGTAAATTATTATCCAATGATCGACTAACGAGAATTGCAAAACATAACGATTTTAAATGGCATACAAATTCTCGTTACCTACGTTCTGTTTACGAGAGGACGTTGGATATAACTTTAAAGGTTTAATGATTGTGCGCTTCTTGTTAGCAAGGAATACGTTTTTCCTAAAAGGAATAACTAACGTTATTGATTACAAGATTGAGTTTCTTTTGGTTAAATTGACGAGTTGGGTGGTTATTCGATGTTTCATTACATTAATATTATCTACTCAAACAAGAACTGATTTATCGCGGTTTTCTTTTACTTTCTCAAAGCAAAGTCGTTAAGATGTCATTTCTTCTTTGGACTTTCTCACATCTTAAACAACGCGTTGATACCTATCTAACCTTTTTTTTGGTTGTTTTTACAGTAATATAAATGTAAATCAACACCGCCTTCTAAATCGTTTAAAAAAACTAGTTCAGTTACTTTGTCGCTGTTCGCTATAAATCTAATCTAACATGAAAAACTGTATTTCTTCGTTTATATGCTTTCGCTAACAATCTGAATGTTAGATTTATGTATTTGCTAATAGTTCATTAATTAATCCCTATTTCCGCAGAAACAGATTACATTAATTTCCTCGGCTATCCGTTTTCGTAGGCTTTCCTTTGCATTATGTATTATGTTGGACGCCAATTCAAAGTATAACTAAGCGTTCTAACGGAATCTAGTAATAGCTAGGCTTTTTGTTTATTAGTAAAAAAAGAAAACTGGACGACTACCGTTTACTACGACGACTACCTATGTATATGGACATGTTATTAGGGAAATTTGCCCTGTTTCGTCCGCTATGCATGTGAAAAAGTGGAGCCATTATGCAAAATGATGGACGTTTTTGATGCGTATCTAGGAAGTAGTAGTTTTACACATTCAATGACCATCACATCAAGTTAATAAGAAAAAAGTTATTAATAAACAAAAAAATAAACAACGGAATTTATGTTATTAATCACCTTTACATTTTTACAATGAATTCTTAACAATCTTTATATTTTAATTTAAATTCAATTAATTTAAAATTTAAAACTTCCTACATTTTAGCATACAATAAAGAACGGTAAAAAAATCTAGTCGTATCAATCAGTTTCTAAAAAAAGCGTGTCACTTCTTAGGCGATACAATCAGGATATATTAAAAAATCAGGTTGCGAAAGCATAAAATCTATTTCATATTCATATGTGGAACACCTATACAAAAAAAAAAGTTTTATAACTCACCCGTGTGTATCCTCAGGTGCATGTTGTACGCGACGCGTTGATTGAAACGTTTTGGACAATGTGGACATCCGTATTCTTTACGATCCCGATGGATTTTCATGTGACTGCTTAAGTAACCTTTATCGTTGAATGTTTTTCCACATTCGGGACATCGAGCTGAAAATTCTTTTGTACCTTCATGAATCGATCTAAATGAAAAAATTGTTATTTTTAGTTGATAACATTTTTTTAAATGTTTGTTATCAATAATGATTGCGTTACATCATTTTTAAACACAATGAACTGGTAGCTTTAATAATTTTACCGACCATAGACAATTAGGAGTCGTCGTTTTGCTCCTAAATGATATTTATCCATTGGTCTATCAAACTAAAACTAGAACTAACTATTACTAGACCTAGAAGTAGAAAATTTCGGATCACAGTTTGAACTTGTTTCTGNCGGCCGCCTGACTTATGTTCTCCAGTAATATCTTTAATACCTGATGTTTCTATTTTCGTGAAAAAATAGGTGAAAGCAAATTTTGTACATGAGTGTATGATGAAATAACCACTAAAAATGGAAGCATTGAACTCATCATTACATATATTATTACATTCATTTTCTCATAACTGGAATGTCCAAAACAATCAATACAACTGGCAGAAATGTGTATAAATTTCCAGAACCAGGAGCTTCTTATCGTGATCGGTTTTTCGACTTGATAGAAAAAGCAAAGTATAAGAAAGAAGTACAGTACAAGCTCGATAATCTAGATTACGACGGATTACCGAATGTGCCGGACTACTGCATATTATCGAGAAAAAAGTTTTACTAAAAGGGAGAACAAACAAAATAATGATCAATACTGCATTAAATCGTTTATTATTGGGAACTAAATGTAAAATAGTTATAAAAAGAAATGATTATGTTATTTATATGTTATTTGTTAATGACATAGCAAGGAATTTGTTAATTTTTGACTGTTTTTTACAATAATAGATTTTATGGAGTATATTTTCCCTCAATTTCCTCAGTGTTAGTAGAATATCCGCAGATTGTTTATTGTCTTCGGCCCAAAGGATGTATGTATGTAGTTTCACGTGGGGGTGAGTTACCCACAGCATTTAGGCCCCAGCGGACCCTTTGTGCGTCCCCACAATTTACTGTTCATTCAAGGGTCAGAAAACCAGCCCAATCTTTTCATGAACGATAATATAGAACAAAAAGGTATGTTCCTTATATCCGAAATTTGGAGCCATGGTACTCCGAAAATAGATTCCCTTAAGTACGCGAGGTTTGGACAGTCACAAACAATATGACTTACCGTCTCGTCTTCCATTTCACACCCTCTACAGAGGGGTGTATTCGCCAGCTTCATGTAANTTCGGGACATCGAGCTGAAAATTCTTTTGTACCTTCATGAATCGATCTAAATGAAAAAATTGTTATTTTTAGTTGATAACATTTTTTTAAATGTTTGTTATCAATAATGATTGCGTTACATAATTTTTAAACACAATGAACTGGTAGCTTTAATAATTTTACCGACCATAGACAATTAGGAGTCGTCGTTTTGCTCCTAAATGATATTTATCCATTGGTCTATCAAACTAAAACTAGAACTAACTATTACTAGACCTAGAAGTAGAAAATTTCGGATCACAGTTTGAACTTGTTTCTGAAGAGGTTGCAACATGGCATCCGAAGTGTCAAACACTTTTTCAAAAGATGCACGGCTTAACCCGAAAATTTCTAGTTCTAGGTCTAGTGTTAGTTCTAGTGATAGTGCTAGTGTTAGTTCTAGTTTTAGTTTAATTATCTCTGGTCTTAACGTTCTTACTATTTTTCATGGCATTAATAATTGTTTTCTAATGATCTTGTGTTTTATTATTTATTAAATGCTCTACTAACTCGATGAATATAATTTGACGTATCTTATGAAGATGGTACTTTAATTACCGAAACCGGTCAAGACAAAAATTAAATATGAGATTTCACTTTGTATATGATCATTTTATTTGTCTAAATAATTAAATAAGTGATAATGGATGAAAACATAATTAAATTTAAATAATACGTCTGCAATTGGTTACGACGAAGTTCCGATCTCTGTTCTAAAAGCTTGCGTCGATTATCTTGCTGAACCTTTAAGTAGTATTATAAACCTGTCATTTGGTTCTGCAACTTATCCACACCACCTGAAAATAACTTTAGTAAGGCCATTGTATAAAAAAAAAGGTGACAATTCAGACTTTTCGAATTATAGGCCAATCGCTTTAATACCTAATGTTTCGAAGGTTTTTGAAAAGATAGTACTGATGAGACTTAAAAGCTACATTTACAAAAATCAAATACTGAATGAGTCACAAAATGGCTATATTGAGGGTAGATCTACAACCAGAGCAATTTTTCAGTTGATGGAAAAAATTCTAGTGGAATAAACAATAACGAATTTACCGGTTGCATAATGATGGATCTAACCAAAGCGTTTGATAGTGTTCATCACGACACCCTTTTAATGAAGATGGAAGCAATGGGAATTCGAGGTATTGCGCTAGAGTGGTTCAGATCTTACCTCTCAGACAGGGAACAGTGTGTTATCGCTTATGATTAAAAAGGAAATGAACTAGCATCAAAATGGGTACGGGTTCTACAAGGAGTGCCGCAAGGATCGATATTGGGACCGTTTCTATTTCTTTTATACATCAATGAACTTCCTGAAGTAATTGATGATTTACTAATATTATTCGCGGATGACTCTACTACAGTATCAACTGCGAAAACGGAACAACAATTGTCAGCACAAATACAAAATAACCTCAATTTACTGTATAACTGGTTTTCTAACAACAATCTTCAACTTAATATTGAAATAACAAACATTATGATGATTGGGAGTGCTGCAGCGACCAACTGTGACATCAATTTGCAATTCAATGGCAAACAACTTACCCGTGCAGAAGAGGTGATGTTCTTGGGTGTTAAAATTGATGTGAATCTTTCATGGAAACAGCATATTAACGATTTAGCTATCAAGATAAGTCGGGCGTGTTATGCGTTGAGAACTATTTCGCGGGTAGTTTCAGTGCAAGCGGCTACAAGTGCGTATTACGGTTAAATTCGGTTGATTTAAGTCGTATCTTCATAGCGCAGAAGAAATGTTTGAGAGCAGTTTTCGGACTTCAAATGAGGGAATCGTGTAAACCCTTTTTTAAATATTATAAAATTCTGACAATGCCGTCGTTAGTGATTCTTGAACCCGTAGTGTTTATAAGAAATAACTATACTTTCTTTAAAAAATATGAACAACAAGACTGTTATGTTACACGTGGAGTAGAAAATGTCTATTTACTTCCACCTAAAACGCAGTATACTAAGATACAAAAAAGTACTGTTCATTTTTGTGTTAAGGTCTTCAACCATCTACCTAATAGTTTGAAAATAAAGCCATCCACGGGATTCAAAAGCTATCTCAAACAACATCTTTTAGAACGAAACTTGTATTCGATAAATATTTTTTTTCTGGAACCATTACAGTAGATTAAATCAGACTGTTTGAATATTATTTGACGTTTTCCGTGCATTTTTGTAAAGATGGAAATAAAGCTTATTATTATTATTAGGATTGCTCAAATACTAAGAATACGGAACGAAGATATCAGACAACAATGCGCAATACAGGACATTGGAAAATGGGTTAGACAGAGACGAAGATTCTGGGACAAACATATAAAAAAATGGAAGATTCGTTAAAAACGGCTAACTGAATAACCTANGAGCGAATTGCCACAGAGATCTGCTCCGTGGCTATTTCAACCTGATCACAGTTCCTAACGGTTGCGATAACACTAGTTAGGTTATCTGCAAGGCAACTCTTAAACAGATCCCAATTAGTGCTACGGGGATTACGGTACGTACAGTCCGATTTCATCCCTAGATCAATTTTAAATTGAATATGTCTATGATCTGAACACGACGGTTCAGAGGATACCCTCAATGCTCTACTAACTCGATGAATATATTCCCGAGTACCTATATTCTTCAATTAAACAATATTATACATAATGCATATGAATCAAGCTGTCCAATAAAACACAAGAGAGTAAAATTCAATGTGCTTTGGTGGAATAACGACCTTGAACAACAGTGAATCGTAGTTAGAAGTTCTGCACGGGTTTGAACCTAGAAAAAGAACAGAAAGGTGCATCGATAAACATTTTCACTAGCTCTTCTAAAGGCAATTCAGGTCTACACGTGTGCCTCCGTACTCATCAGAGAATGTACCAGTAACTTCAGAGAACGAGCAATGATGTTACTCTATGGTGGGTCCCAGGTCACAAAAACATTGAGTGCAATGAAAGGGCGGACAAGCTGGCCAAGGAGGCAGCGAGAACGCCCTTTATTGGACCTCAACCCGGCTGTGGACTACAAAGAAGATCACAGACAGGCGAAGAGTATGATAACTCCATCGCAAAACAAAACCAAAGAGGTTTTATGCCTCATCAAAGGAAATCTAAGGTCGCTGTCAGGCTTCCTGACCGGCCATGCGCTCTTAAAATACCACCTCTTCTACATTGGCCAATCTGAGTTGCAATAGATCTTATAGGACGAGAGGTGCCGCTCCTCTCTGCCCGGCAGCAATAATAATAATAAGGCGAAAAGATCTAGTGAACCGGAGTCAAATTCGGAGACCTGGAAAATAATCTTTTCTGCATTAAATGGGATAGAATTGCTGAAATACTAAGAATACGGAACGAAGATATCAGACAACAATGCGCAATACAGGTCATTGGAAAATGGGTTAGACAGAGACGAAGATTCTGGGACAAACATATAAAAAAAATGGAAGATTCGTTAAAAACGCTAAACTGAATAACCTAGTAGGAAAAAGATCACATGGAAGACTACCAAAGCGATGGTCAAAATGTTAGACCTCATCTTCTGGGGAGAACGAGTTGGCAATGCCAATATTAATTACCCAAATTTACACAATTTTTGTTAAGGTAAGGTGTTTTAAATGCGTTTTTGTGGCAAGTCCATCCAAGTCAATAATATTTTTATTATAAGTATACAAGTGCTGAGCACAAATGTATTACTCAGTTAGTAATTACTTGTCTATATAGAGTGAATCATAGTTTGTGGTTATGGTGCACCTTCCCTACAGTTCAACCTTACTTGAATGACACAAATAATTCCGATTTATTTA